CCTCTCACCCTCCGCATCTCTGCCTGTACCCCAGTTCTGTATGAATGAATAAATAAATCTTTAAAAAAAAAATACCACATGACCTCATTTATATGTGGGATCTAATGAGGCTGAGTAAATTGTGGGGTGTGCTACACAGTACAGCAACCATGATCAATACTGAATTCTATACTCGAAGAATAGACCTCAAGTGTTCTCACCATGCACAAAAAACACAGGAATGGCGTGAGCTGATGGAGGTGCTAATCTCATTTGATGGTAATCATCTTGCAGTATATGCATGCATGGCGTCATCACGCTGTACACCTTAAACTTACACAATGTTCTATGTCGTCACCTCAATAAAGCTGGGGAGAAACAGTGATGCCCTCTCAGCCTGCTGCCCTACTATCTAGGTTCACATCTATCCAGAGCTTTGACTTTCTGTCTGTGAAACTTCACCAGCACATTCCCATTCCCTCCCACTGACTGGGGAGATGACAGAAACTTCCAAGGCTTTGGGGGCAGTCCAGAACCCAGTGCCGGCCCTCGCTCACCAGTATACCCTTGGGAGGCACCATAGAAGTCCTCTAGTTATCCCTCAGTTAAATGGGAGTAAAAACGCCTACCCCCGTGTGAAAGGTTCTGGCCCAGCACCTAGCCAGTGGCAGTCCTGAAAAAGCACTGTTGTTAGAATGATCATTGAGGTGACAGCCATTAAACTAGCACCTGGTCAGTACTTTTTTTCTTTCATTTTTTTCATTCGTTCTATAAAGCTCTTCCTAAGGACATATTTAAATTACCTAACATGATAGATGGCAAGTGGTGGCCACTCGGTATCATCACTGCTCATCCCCGCTCATCACCACCCTTGTTAGGTGCCAGGCACTAGGGACACAGGACGAGCAAAGCACACGGAGCTCCAAGTTTAGGGAGACCCGAGATGCACCCCAAGGCGTCAAGGAACTGGAAGTCAGTGCCAAAGAGGACATCTGTGGGGGCTCAAGGGAAGCAGGCCAGAGTCCATGCCGCCCCAGAGTTGACTGGGCACTGTCCCCACACCCCAGGTCATGGCCCCGTCTAGAGTGACCCCTGGAGCTGGCATGAAATTACCACCTACTTGATCCCAACGTGACTCCTGCAGTCCTGTCTTGTTGTGGATTCAATCACCCCATTTTCTGAGCACCTGCTGTGACAGGCCAACACAGCTCCAGGCGCCAGACTTAGTTTCAAGACAGATGAGGCCCAGCACTCAGGGAGTTCACGTTCCAGCAAGAATCCCAGAAGGGAGACACAGAGAGAGACTACGACTGGTCACAACAGTCGGGGAAATGGAGGATCCATGCCCCCGTCAAGCTGGCAGACCTGGTTAAGTGGAAGAACCAGGGAACTAATATAAGGAAAAGGAGATCCAGAGAGGGAGGGTTTGGGCAGGAATGTACGAAGTTCAGTTTGGGCCACATTGAGCTGATGTCATTCTCTCATCCCTATGAAACTTGATATAATTCCCTCATTAGAGAGAACACAGAATTTGTGGGAGGGGAATGAAGTCAGGGGTCCAGAGTTGGGGTGCTCGTCTCAGGCCTGAGGCGGGCAAGGACCCATGGACTTTGTACCACATCCCAAAGGACTGCGGTAGGAGCTGGGGGCATGTGCTCTAGGCCAAGTCCTGACTCTCACTGGCCCTGGAGCCCTGAGCAAGTTGACTCACTTCTCTGAGTTCTGGGCATTGGCTAAATGCAGATGGAAATATGCTCCTTGCCCACTTCACATAACAGTTGCCAAGAATCTAGAAGAAATCTAGAAGTTGTATAAGGTGAGGAGTACAAGTCACATCTAGGGGAAGGTGGAAGCTCTTCATGATCTGACCTGCCCGGGTCAACAACGGTTACAGGGCCATGAATCTCTGATGTCTGCCCCACTCTGATACCTCAGCCCCTCTGCGTACTTGCTGGTGGCAGCTCCTGTGGAACACCGAGCCTCTTTGGGAGCCAATCCAGATGAGATCTTCAGACCCCCATCCTGCCTCCAACACAAGCAGGTAGTCACCTACATGACCCCGGCTCATCAGTGTCAGCACCATGCACTGCAGGCCCTGCCGAGCCCCACAAAGGCTGGGCTGGCATCTGGGAAATGACAATGTCCAACTCAGAGTGTGTGCGCCAAGGTTTATTGTATCTACTGGGGAGCCCGGGCTCACTTCCAAGCAGAGGGCTAAGAGCATTTGGACGGGAGGCAAGGCCACCAGACGCTGACAGGCCTGGCACTGTGGAGACAGCGGTGCTTCCACTTTAAGCACAGCCTGCTCACCACCCCTTGCCTTTAAGACTCCTAAAGAGGTGGGCTGTCATCTCCATAAACAGAGGCTCCCAGAGGTTTTCAGACTTGTCTGTCATCTCCATCTCCCGGAGCTGGAGACCAGGCGCCTGCTGCCCCACCTTACCCAGCCTCAGGGACCACATGTCCAGAAGTCAGCCTGCCCTCACCCTGGCAGCCCCTGGTGCCTCCAGGGAACTGGGACTATAGTTTGGAGTGAACAAATTCTATCAAGGTCTTCAACTGCTCCTCCAGGTACTGCTCGTCTCCGTGGTTCTCGATGATCCAGTCAAAGCCTTCAAAGTTATCCAAGTCACACTCTGACTCGGCGTCATCCACTCCTGTGGAGGAGATGGGGCAGGTCAGGCCCCAGCCCTCTGGACAAACACTGGGCATCAAGCCTGCTGGCTTCAGAAGGAACCACCCTCCCCTGACCTCCCCTCTGCCAGGATGGGGCAGGGCTTCTCCCAGGCCAGCAGTACGGCCCCACCCTTGAAACACCAGCTACCTGGTTCAATGGCCCCATTAAACCCCCAGACTGTCCCGCTGACTTAACTCTTCACCTCACGACTGCGGGCAGACTGAGTGATCTAAATCCACCGGCAACCTAAAAGGGGGGTGTCTTTTCATTTTCTGTGAAGCTGGTTGTATCAATTTCTATCCCTAAATCTCCAGTTCAATCCTCTCGGAAAGCAGCATATGCCAATCTCATGTAGCAAGGTATTGTCATGACACAGTAAGAAAGTGGGCAGAGGGCACTTAGCCCAGGGCTGGCTTGGGTGGGTACCTGCGAGATGAGTGGCCATTAGGAGAGGGCAGGCACCTGGGTCTGAACTCCCCAAGTCAAAGAGAACTAGGGCAGGAAAGAGGCCTGAGCTATGTCTCTGAGTGACCATGAAACAGGTCTGGACTGGCACGACTAAAGTTGCCAAGCAGAGCTTCCCACTTGCCACCTATTAATCAAAATGAAATGAGGGCTGTCGGGCCTACCCTCTGGCCTGCTGTTAGCACACCCACCCTTAGGTGGAAAGCTGAAGGACCAGTGGGGTCGGTCCAAGGCAGACCTCCACAAGTCCACTGGCCTAGTGAAAACAGCCCAAGTGAGGGGCCCAGGCCACAGCCTCAGGGAACCTCTACCCCAAGGGACACCTTCCCCAACCCCACTTTCTGACCTGGAGGCGCTCCTGAGCCCCGGCCTTGGGTTCCCTTTTATAACCCCTCTCTCACTGCCCCGAGCCTGCCAGCAAGCGCGGAAGACCTGCTGCACGGAAATGGGTGGCCTGGTTTGCAGAGGGTGTGGCCGACCTATATGCCAGTCTTGGGGGCAAAGGTTGTGAGCAACACACCTGGCGTGAACACCCAGCCCCGCTGCCGTCGGCTCTGCTCTGAGGCCACCACTCGGACCAACTGTGTCACAGCACCATAGGCCTCTCGAAACCACTTGATGTCGGACACCCTCCGTGTGTCACTCACCAGCTGCGAGGAAGGAACACAGACATGTGGCCAACAGGTTATGGTGCAAGGCACAGTGCAGGGGATGATGGGGAGAGGAAGGAGGACCCAGCATCCCTCTGAAGAGCGGGCACGGGACTGGGCAGGGGCACTGCAGAATCCAGACAAGTGTAGCCCCATCCCCCGGGTCAACAGAGACCGCCCTCTCCTCTGAGCAGAACCCCCCTCCGCATCAATGCAGGCCACAGTCCCCTCTGCCCACACACTCTGCCAGGGACAGACTGGTGACCTGCGGGGCTGGGACCATCACTGCTCTGGAGGAGAGCCCTCGGGCCTTCACGTCAGATTCACATACTCATCTGGCAGATGAGCAACTGAGACCAGAAACAAACTCTAACCACTAATTTAATTTTAGGCAGTCCCTCTCCCTAAGCCATTCAAAGTCTCCCTTCCCATCATTCTAATAAAACCCAAAGCTCTCACCCCAATTTACAAGATCGACCACCTACTTCCCAGCATCTTCCCTTCATTCACCCCACGGCAGCCACTGATCTGTGGCGGTTACTCAAATACGCCAACCACCTCTCCCTCTCAGGGCCTTTGCACATACTGCCTGCCTCTGCCTGGACAAGCACAAGGTAGTCCCCTTCTGCTCAAGTGACACCCCAAAGAGGTTTCCCCACCAGTCTACCTCTCGTCCTACCCCCGCGATCCTGACAGCCTGTATTTTCCTCTGAGCACTAAGTACGCTTAAAATCATCACTCTGTATTACTTTGGTCATCTGTCTTGTCTGTCTGCCCCCTAGAGAGAACTCCATAAGGGAAAGGCGCTGACCCCGGGCATGTGTCCCGTCTGACACCCGAGCACACGGGACACAGGTTCACCGATGAAGGGACCAGTGAATAAACAGGCCAGCTCTTCTCATCCATGCTGTTGACATGTTCATTCTCCCAGCTGCTGAAAAAAATTCCACAGCAAGCACCTGCTGTGTGCTGGGCCCTGGGGACAGAGTGTTGAGCTGAACAGAGCTGGTGCTTGCCCTGGGGCACCGTACGGTCTGACGGGACAGACAGCAGCTTCCCCGAGACCGAGCAACCCCGGTCCTCATCAACTCACATCTCCACCTTGACACGTCCGAATCAGGGCCTCTGCTTTTCTCATCAGCCTAATCCTCCCACTCCGTCCCTGTCTCAGAAAACAACAAGTCTACTAGTCCAACCGCTACATACTGTTTCTTGTCCTCATGCCCCTAGCCAGTGCACCAGCAAATCCTATGGACTCTGGCTTCAAAACCAGTGCAGAATCAAGCCCTGTCTCCACTCGCCAACCCCTCAGAGCAGAGCCGCAGCCCCCCCAGTCAGGGAAGCATCCTCTACTGGCCTGTCTGCTCCCAGGCCACCTTCCACCAGCAGCCAAGTCAGCCCTTTCGACCTTAGATTGGCTTGTTTCTTCTCTGCCCGAACCTTCAAGGGTCCTCATCCAACTCAGCAGAATCCAGACTCTTCCAAGGAAACTGCAGCAGCTGACCACACTCCTACCCAAACCCCACACCCATACAACCCCTGGATCTGCCGCAGACATGCCAGGGACCTTCCGCGCAGGTCCTTTCTACTCCCTGCTCCCTTTCTGGAAAGCTCCTTCCCCACATATCCATTCGGTTCACTGCCATACTTCTTCCTCAGGCCCTGCTCCGACATCGTCCTATCAGGAAGCCTTTCCCTATCATACCTAATAAAGCAGCAACCCAACCCCAGCCTTCCTCAGACCCTTGGGCAACTTCACTTTGCTCCTTCATGTTTACCTCCTCTGACATAGTCTATATTTATTGAGCGTCCGAGTCCCTCCACCCCCAGCTATAACATAAGCTCCCAGGCACTCTGCATTTTTGCAATGGTCTATTCCAGTACCTGGAACCAGGCCTGGGTCAAGCAGCTAACACGGCTGCCAAAGTGAATGAGGCACCAAAAGGGAAGATGCCAGGGAGCACCAGCTAAGACATGGGGACCAGAGGCTTCCCTGCAAAAGTGCCCTATAAGCTGAGCTAGGGCACTTTCGCCCACCAGGTGAAGAGAGAAAGAAAGGGCAATCCAGGCAGGCCGAGCACCTAGGCAGAGGCGCCCATTCCAAAAGGAGCTTATATGGGTAGCAGAACGTAGGTCATTCAAGACCCAAAAGTTTGTTAAGAATTTTGATTTTGTTCATGAAAACAATGCGACATGGTTTTGTAAACAAAGGAGTGACCCCGCTTGGTGTCTGTTTTTAAAACCTCATCCTGTCTGTGGTGTGGGGGATGGATCAAAGGGACCAAGAATCAACGGTGGGGCCAGAGTGGGGTTGCTGCAATTGTCCAGATGACACAGTGGCGGATGGCTCCAGGCGGTGGCAGTAGAGACAGAGAGAAAGCAACACATCTGACATCTACAGTGTGTGGGGAAGGCAGAGGGCTAGGGATGTGGGTTTTCTTAATGCTGCCAGAGCCGGCTTACCCAGATGGGCTGAGAAACATCTTTCACGATCTTCCTGCAGAAGAAGCCCGGGTCAGCCTGGCGCATCTCCTCCCCCCAGCGGATCATGTCCTTCCGATAGTTCTCCTTGTAGGCACTGGCATCCAGGAGTCTCTGCAAGTTCAAGCCGTGCTCCTGTCCAGAGCACATCATTATGGCTATGCCACTGGCCTCTCGACCTCGCTAGCCTCCCCTGAGACAGGTCCATCCCTCCCCCAGGGCCCATGAACAGATGAATGCGGTTTCCCCAGGACAGAGACCTGCAGAAGAGAGCCCTGAAAACCAAGAAATCCCAAAATGGCAGGTGGAAGAAAGGTCTCAAGATAATCCAGAAATGGTTTCAGTTTGTCTTTAAAATATGCGATGTGGTTTTCTCTTTTGCAACAGTATTACCTTCCCAATTATTTCTGGCTTAAACTAATCCTGAAATTAGTTTGTATCCTCTGAGTACAGGCTTAGCCTTTAACTACAGTGGGAAATCTGAGAACATTGCATTCCATGTCCTCCCACGACCCCTTCTGACACTGTCTGCCCCTCTGCAAGCCCAAGAGACTTGACTTTCCTGTCTCTCTCTTCTCCCCACCTTGCCCCCTTTCAGGCCCAAATTCCTCACACCTTTGCAGGAGCACCACTCCACTTGGCTCCAGGCCCTACTGGAGCTCTCCACACCGAGGCAGAAGGGCTACTATGCTGACCATGTGGGACACTTTCCAAACCCGACCTTTCCTTCTCCGGGGACTAACAAGGAGAAGGGTCCATCCAGGGACCCAGTTCATGTCCCGCCTCCCTCCGAGCTCACTACAGGAAGGCCTTCCCTCCTCAGACTGTTTCCTTCCCTCTTCAGACTGTTTCTCCACCTGTGAACTGCAATGTCACCTCCTCACATCCCTCCTCCAAGGTGAGGCCAGAAGCCATCTCCTACTTATAAACTGGTTTCCCATGCAGCCCTTGCCACAGGGGAAGAGGGGCCACCAGGAACATCATGGTCTGCTGTGTCCAGCATTATCTCCCACTGTGATTTAAGAAATCAATGCATTAATTTTGGACTTGTTTTGGAATAGAAGTGGGAGAGGGGGGCTTGTAAAGGTTAGGACAGGCAGGTCTTTCCGTCCCCCACTAAGGTTTTAAAAAGACCAACTCTTTCCCATCACCACCCCTGCCTGGATAACAGGTCTGCAGCAGGGATGATTTGGGAACTCTGGAAGGCCAGTGGCAACTCAGACCCAAGAGTTCTTCAAAGGTGCCCGGGTTCTGTTGGGGAAGCTGAGTGTCTCCCACAAATCACAGTTGCTCCCAAAATGTCTACTGGATAAAGGAATTTCTGCATCTGGTTTCACTTAGGAAAGTTCCCACTAAAAAATGTGAAAACCAAGGTCCCTGTGATCCCCAGGATCCCCAACACTGCTGTCTACAAATGGCAGTGGGAGACTACTCAAAGGAACAGAAGGTACAAAGGAATGTCCCGTGAAGACGGCTGTCACATGGAAGTAGGGCATGAATTCTTAAGTGGCCCCAGAAAGCTAGGGGTTAAAGCGCAGCACTATGAAGCTACCCGCAGCCACTGCAGCTTGAGTTCGATCCCTGGCCAGGGAGGTGACCCACATGACGCAGCAGACCTCTCCTGACCCACCTGCTGCTCCCCTCAGCAGTGCATTTCACTCGATCTGCTTATTCTGCTCCCCACTCTGTCTCTGGTGAATCCTCTCACCCTGCACCTCTGGCCTGTACCCCAGTTCTTATATCCATAAATAAAAATAAATTTAAAAAAGAAAAGAGAGCTAGACTCAAGCCAACTGACCAAAAGGCCATTACCAGATGCCCAGAAGGGTGCACCTGGTGGTCAAGGACAGAAACACAGGGGACAAGGACATTTCACTGTGTGGGAAGCTGATGTCACTGCCCAGGCTCCCTCCCTGACATCTAAATTTCCAAGAGTTCCCACTTATTTTGTAAATCCAAGTTTAGCAATTCTGTTTGTTTTTTTTTTTAATCTACATGGCTCAAAATTCAAAAGATACGTATTCATTCACTGTAAAAACTCTCCCTCTGTGGTCCCCCAGCCAGGTCCTCTCCTGGCAGCGCCCACGGCAGGCTCCCAGGTATAGTGGACCCTCGAACAACATGGGTTTGAACCCTGTGGATCCGCTTCAACACCGATGTTTTTTAGTAACTATACTGGAAAATGTTTTGGAGATTTTTGAGAATTTGAAAAAACTCTCAAACTATGTGGCCTAGAATGTCAAAAAAAATAAGAAAAGGTCAGTTGTCATAAATGCATAAAATAATGTAGCTATGTATGTAGATGACAGTCTCTTTTATCACAAACTATGATAAAAGAGCGTAAGTGTAATCATTGAAATACTGTGTGTCATAAAAATGTTCAGGCCACACCATGAAGCAACCCCACTGCTGCTGCTTGATTATCAACACATGAGTCATTATACCTGTAAATAAATAAACATGAATTTCTTTTTCATGGTTATCTTTTCATTTTTGATGTCTACTGTTAGTAATACCTATAGCATGTCTCATATAAGAAGATATCGATGTAGGTACTGACATATCTCATCTTGTTAACAATGTAAACTTTCAGCATCACTAAATACAGTACAGTGCTAGAGATGGATGTTCTCTTCCTTAAGGTTTTCTTTTTTTAATATTTATTGTTACTTACCTAACAACTGCATTCAAGAACTGGGGTGTAGTTCAGAGATACCTGGGGGGTGAGAGGATTCACCAGAGACAGAGCGGGGAGCAGAACGGGAAGATCTACTGAAATACACTGCTGAGGGAAACGGGGCAAGACAGGAGAGGTCTGCTGCGCCATGTGGGTCACCTCCCAGGCCAGGCATCAAATTATTCTACATCTTGCCCTTTTCACTTAACACCGTATCTTAACAACTAAATTTCTAAGGGGGGAAGAATAAGGTTGTGGCAGGCGAGCTGAGCCAGGGAGAGGGGAGTGATGCGCGTCATCCTTTCTGAATAAGGGGGCAGGTTTAGGCCCTACACTAATCCAAGGGTGTTGGAGCAGCCGCTCACATCTACAGGCGTTCCTGAACATACTTTCTTGAACATGCCCTGGGAGGTGACCTGGAGTGAGGGAGGCCAGAGGGGAAATAGCTGAAGCTAAAAATGCTCCCCAAATGTCTACCCACCAAAACCAGAAACTGCTGGCAGACAGCAGGGGCCCTGCTCGTGACTCGCATGACACCCACAGCAACCAAACCCCAGGAGCTGGCTCCTTTCACCCACTAGATGCCATAGAGCTGTCACCTACCTGAGCAAATTGCTCCTTGAGTGGACCAGAGAGACGCAGGGTGGCACAGACATCACTTCCAAGTCTGTGGAATGGGGAGAACCAAATCCGGTTAACTGACCACCTCTGGAGTCCAGAGGGTTGAAGCCCCATTTATGCTACGCTTATCTACGTAACTCTGTCGCCCCTCAACTTCCCTGGCCCTATTTTCTCATCTATAAAGTGGAGATAACTGTTTCTGTTTGACTCCCACAGGATTATTATGAAACTTGAATGTGAAAGAGTCCTGAGACTATCAGGTAAAACAAGTAAAATTTTAATTATGGCTGAACATTCCTGCCTGGCAATATCCTAGCTGGATTACTGCTGGGACTGAGCAAATTCTCTCACTGCCAGGACATCTCAGTCTCCTCACTTGGTCATCACAAAAGAAGTCAACCATTCATTCAACAGTTCAATTCGCTCAACCATTTCTTGGGTATTACATTTGAGTCAAGGTGATAGAAATATGAGTACGAAACAGGATTCCTGCCCTGACCTTGAGATGTTCAGAGATTCACCTCAACACTGACATGGTAAGGTAGGTGTCCTTATTTCCCTGATTTAGAGGAGGAAACAGGTTTTGTGAGGAGAACTGACTCAATCAAAGCAACATTGCAAGTCATGAAGTCAGCAGTGGGAACACAAAGTAACAGCCAACACTTAGTTCCCATGCCTTACAGATGCCAGGAACTCTCCTCAACCCTTCACATACATGGTCTTATTCAATCCTTATAATCACCCCATTATTATCCCTGTCTCACAGATGACAAAAGTGAAACAGAATAGATAAGAACTGTGTATAAGATCACACAGCAGTGGTGAGTCAGGACTTGAATTCCATTACTTTTAAAACCAGAGTCTGAGCTCCTGACCATTGTTCTCTGGGAGTGAGGAGAACAGTTTAGGGAAAGATGGTAGAAGATATGTGGTGATGAAAGATTGAGGTGGTCCCCTCCACCCTGGGTTGCCCCGCAGCCTCTTTGAACCTGAAAGCAACCTCCAGGCACCGCTACTGCCCTGGCCTTCAAAAGGAAAAGAGACCTACCCCCCCCCCTTTTCCCTTCCCAAAGTTCTGCTCTCCTGGCCCAGGCCCCAACAAAATGCTGAGTGAAAGTGAAAGGTATTATTTGGGAAGATGAGTGGTAATTCAGAGGAATCCATTTAGTCACACTAAAGCTGAATCTGAATCCTGGATCTGCCTGCCACTGACTTTGTGACCCTGGCAAGTCTGTGTTTGTTTGTTTGTTTGTTTGTTTGTTTGTTTGTTTGTTTGTTTGTTTGAACTTGCCAGATGCTCCGTTTCTTCATCTGTGAAGTAGAGACTGAGTAGCAATACCACACAGTAGCAAACAAAGAGGTCTGCAGGATGAAATGAAATAACCTACATGCTCAGTGCTCTGCATACAGTAAAGGGGGTTCAATAAACCCCTGCTCTTAGGTGGTGTGCTGGGCAACCATCTGTTACAAGTCAGCCACGACTGGGTGGGATCTCAGAGAATCTTTCATCCGTGTTTCCGTCTCCCTGTCCTGAGGTCTAGGAATGGCCGTAGAGGAAAATGCCTCCGTGTAACTGCCAGCACTTCTTGGAGAGAGAGATCTACGCGTCTGGAGCCGTAGCAGCACAATTCTTTGTGGTGGGCATGTGGAAATCCCGCCTGATGTGGTACCAGGTGGCAATCCCCGGCCCCCCCGCCACCCAGGACCCCTCCGCCCCGCAGTCCGAAGACCCCGCCTCCAAAGCTCAGCCCGTCGCCGCCCCAGCCAACCCCCCGTCACGTGACGCGGGGATCTCCTCCGCCGTCACCCCGTTCCCCCTCCTTTCCGCCCCTCGGACACCTGCTCTGTAGCGTGTCGGTCACAAAGTCCTTCCCGGATTTCCTCTTCCCGCTGAACAGCAGCACGAGCCTCGGGGAGCCTCCTATCGGGGCCATGGTCGTCCTTTCGGGAAGCCCCAGAGCCGACACTTAAGTCCATCTCTGAAGTCAGGCCACCCCGCGCAAAACGGAAGAGGCCACTAAGTGGGGCGCCCCTACGAGGGCCCGCCCCGCTCTTCGTGGCTGTGCAGGGACGGCCGGCCCCCGCGCGTGCTCGCGTGCATCTTACGGAATGGCTGAAGAAATGAAAAGCAGAGGGAAAGAAAGTGACTTTCCAGGACAGCCTTTACCCCTAAAGAAGTACCCCTCCTGGACTGCTTTGGAACAGCCCGGACCCGCCCAAAACTCGACGTCACGGACCCGCCTGCTTAGCTGACAGCGCTAGGGTCGAATTGGACGCGACTGTTTCCCTCTTACCCGATGACGTCTTAAAATTGCCGGGCAACTTCACATTGCCTTCCACACCTGCAGCTTACGAAACTGGTGAAGAAGCTTGCAAAAATGCTTTCTTACTTGTACATTTAAAAAAAAAAAATGCAGGTGCTAAAGAAAATCCTCATTGGCCCCCCAGTGAAAATGGGTCTTTTCTAGAGATGGAAGGAGGCAATGACACCAGAGGGTTGTGTCCAGTGATAATGGCCGGACTTGGTCCAGTACCAGCTGTTTAATGTTTAACCGGTGTTAAAGTGGAGAGGGGCCTCCCTGGTGGCGCTAGGGATTCAGTCTCAGCACCATGAAGCTCTCCCCAGACGCTGCAGCAGGAGGTGGATCCAGCCCAGGGAGGTGACCCACCTGGCTCAGCAGACCTCTCCTGTCCCCGCCCGCTGCCCTCTCAGCAGTGTGTTTCAGTAGATCTGCTTGGTCCGTTCCCCACTCTGTCTCTGGTGAATCCTCTCACCGCCCCCACACCTCTGGCCTGTACCCAAGTTCTGTATGCATCAACAAATAAATCTTAAAACTAAATGAATAACAGTCAAGAGGACACAAGGACAGAGGTGGATAACATCAACACAAGTTATAAAGGGACTTTTCAAGCCCTCTTCCTCTCCTCCCACCATACGCAAACACACACACTCTGCCTAGGTTTATCCAGAGCCCAGCTGCCACAAGGAGATCAATGGGCAGAGATAAGGGGTGGTGATCTGCCCCTGCCCTGAATTCCCAGTGTCATCTCTGCCCAGTCTCTGTGAGTAAATGGAGTGGTCTTCGGTATGACTGGTTGTACTGCATTTTCCGAGCATGTCAAAACACAGCCTGTAAGCCATTACTACTCCCATTTTTATGAGCTGTAAAGTCGGGCAACGAGAAAAAGTGGTATGTGGAGACTTGGGAAGACAAGATTAATCCCCTCGATATTGAAAAGCTGGTTCCGAAGCAGCTAAGGAAAGTAGAATAATCAATGGTCAGAGGCAAAAAGAACAAACTTCAGGAAGCCTTTTTTAAGCTCTGAAAGCTTTGTACTCATCAGTATGCTTAGAAGGAATTTTGTGCTAGCGATAGTTTTTAAAACTATTATTTTATTTAAGGAATGTACAATATATTTAAAGAAACTTGTAATTAGCAATTCTAATTCCTAAAATTTTCAGATTTTCCAGGTAACAGAATTCTAATATTTTGCTGGATAACTTTCTTATAAGCAAACCATAAATAAATTTAGCCTCTCATAGAAGTACACATGTGTTTGAAGTTTCTAATGTAACTTCACAGTGTACTTGTTTTTGTTATTATTTTATTTCAGTACATTTTTTTTAAAATAGCAGACTGAAATTTACACTACTAATCAAAAGTAATATATCTGGTAGATTTCTACAAATTGGCAAAATAACTGGATTTTACACTATTCTCATACCACCTAAAGATGGCCTATGGAATCAAGGATCTAATCACAGTCTCATCTCAGAGTGGCATGTCTTATCATTCATATTATCCCCTTCAGGTTGATGGCAGAAACTTTTTTAAAATATTTATTTATTTATGCGTACAAGAACTGGGGTACAGGCCAGAGGTGCAGGAAGTAAAAGGATGCACCAGAGACAGAGTGGGGAGCAGAATGGTCAGATCCACTGAAATACGCTGCTGAGAGGAGCAGCGAGGGAGACAGGAGAGGTCTGTGTGCTATGTGGGTCAGCTCCCTGGCCGGGGATGGCACTGATGCTGCAGTGGCTGCAGATAACTTCACAGTGTTGTGCTTTAACACATAGAGCTATCCAGGAGGGCTGGACGATGAACTTTTGTTTGCCTTCATGGTTTGCTTTGGGTTGGTTGATTTAATTTGGGGGGAATAAAGGGGGAGCATTCTATTAGAATGCATTTGTTTATTATTCATTTGTTTGTTTATTTTTGTAATGATCACTACTTAATTATTTACTTTTGCATTGAAGAACTGGGGGGTAGGCCAGAGAGGTGAGAGGATTCACCAGAGACAGAGTGGGCAGGCAGTCAGGAGAGGTCTGCTGCGCCATGTGGGTCACCTTCCTGGCCTGGAATCGAACTGCTGTTGCTGCTGATCTCTTCATAGTGCTGTGCTTTAACCTTGCACCACCACCGAGGGCCCTCTCCTCCCCCTGTTAACTCAGAGCTTTCCCGGTGTTTATTAATGTCCAGTAGTTTTTATAGTTATTTTACTTTGTCGAATCATCCGTTGTGTAAAATAGCCAGAATGTTTTTGTCTTTCTGAATTGATTAACTCCACACAATTCCTCAAATTCCCTCTACTTTGCTGTAAATGATTGCATTTTGTTTTTCCTTATGGCTGAATAGTGTAGATGCTCTACACTAATTGTCTATTAGAGGACCTTAGGCTGCATCCATATCCTAGCTTTACAGATAGTGCTGCAATAAGCATCATAGAACTTAGTGTTTTGCATTGTTTCATATTCTGTGGGTAGATGCCTAAGAGTGCGATTATTGGGTCATATGATATTTCCATTTTTAGTTTTTAAGATGAATTCAGATTACTTTCTATAGTGGTTGCAGCAATTTACATTCCTCTCAACAATGTAACAGTGTTCCCCTCTTTAAGATGTGCAGTGTACTCACAGGTATGAGATGGTATCTCATGTGATTTTTACCTGCATCTCTTACTGAGTGTCAACAAACATTTTTTCATATATCATTTGCCTTCTGGATATTCTCTTTGGTGAATTGTTCATTTCTGCTGCCTGATTGATTGGATTGTTTTTCTATTGTTAAATTTTATATTTGTTTATATATCTTATTGGCTATATATTACGTGAATGTTTTCTGTATATATACGTACAAATATAAATACATATATATATACACGTGTGTATATATAAATAGATATGTAAAAAGTTTTCACATGAGGTAATCCCAATTTATATTTGCTATTAGTTCTTTTCCCATAGGGGTCAAGTCTCCAAAACCACATTTATTGTTGATATCATGTGATAGCGTATGGAGTTTTTTGTTTTGTTTTGTTTTTTGAGATTTATTCATTTATTTATGCATATAAGAACTGGGATGTAGATCAGAGGTGTGGGGGGTTGGAGGGATGAGAGGATTCACCAGAGACTGTGGGGAACAGAACAGGCAGATCTACTGAAATACACTGCTGAGGGGAGCAGTGGGGAGACAGGAGAGGTCTGCTGCAGCATGTGGGTCAGCTCCCTGGCTGGGATAGAACTCAGGCCGTCAGGCCGCAGATGTGATAGTGATAGATAATGTGATAGTGCTGAGATTTAACCCATATGCCAACTGGGAGGCCCTTGTTGATGTCATGGATCATAGCATCAATGATGTTTTTTCCCTATGTATTTTATTGTTGTAGGTCCAATATCTAAATCTCGAATCCATTTGGGATTTATTTTTGTATATGGAATTTATTTATGTATATATATGGACTTGCAGTTTCCCCAGCATCATTTATTTTTTTAATTTTTAATTTCTTGAGACTTTTTAATGGCCTAGTATATAGACTCTTTTAAAAAAATGTATTTATTTATGCATACAGAACTGGGGTACAGCCAGAGGTGCAGGGGCAGCTAGAGGATTCACCAGAGACAGAGCGGGGAGCAGAACAGGCAGATCAACGAAGTACACTGCTGAGGGGAGCAGTAGGTGAGACAGGAGAGGTCTGCCCGCCTTGTGGTTCACCTCCAGGGCAGGGAATCGAACTCTCAGAAGCAGCTACAACTTGGCTTAGCTTCGCAGTGCAGCGCTCCAACCTGCTGCACCACCAGAGAGGACCCCCAGCATCAGTTATTAAAGAGTCTCTCCTTGTCCCACTGCATGGTGGTGGCTCCTTCATCGTACCATTAGGTACATGAATTTATTTTCTGAGCTTTCAATTCTGTTCCATTGATCCCCATGTCTATTTTTGTGTCAATACAACACTGCTTTTAGTACTGTTTGAAGTCAGATACTATGATGCCTCTGATTCTCTCCTTTTATCAGGATTGCTTTTGCAATTCAAGGTCTTTTATAGTTTCATATAAATTTCAAATTTTTTTGCTCAATTTCTTTGAAAAATATTGCTGGTATTGTACTGGGAATTACATTAAATTTATATATCACTTTAGGCAGGATATTTATTTTGTTTATACTAAATGTCCCCATCCATGAGCATTGAACGTCCTTCCATCTGTTTATATCACTAAGTCCTTTAATAACATCTTGTAGTTTTCATTTTATAGATCATTCATCTCCTTAGGTTAATTATGAGGTATATGATTTTTTTTACACATTGTAACTGAAATTATTTTCGTGATTTAATGGTGAATGATTGAAGGCTTTCTCCTTAATATCAGGAACAACACAAGAAAATCCACTGTCACAAAATCTGTTTTACCTAATACTAGAGGTTTTAGCCAGCATTTGTTATGTATAAAAATGCTACAGACTTTTGTATATTGCTTTTGTAAACTGCCACTTTGTTGTATTGTTTCTAATAGCTTGTTGGAGGACTCCATAAGGTTTTCTATATGTAATCATATCTGGGAATAATAATCGTTTCACTTTTTTACTAATTTAAATTCCCTGTATTTTCTGTTTTTGTCTGATAGCACTGGCTAAAACCTCTAATATTAGATTAAATAGAAATTGTGACTGTGGATTTTCTTGTGTTGTTCATGATATTAAGGAGGAAACCTTCAGTTTTTCACCATTAAATACTACATTGGCTCTTAAATTATAGTGTGTGGTCTTTATATTACTGAAGTAAGTTCCTTCTATTCCTATTTTGTTTATGATACAGGGCAGCAAAGGGGCACTAAACTAGAGTACAGGGCAGCCATACTATAGGCTCGATTCCAACTCATGCAGACAACCAAAAACAAA